AGCTCCAAAACAGATGAAGTCAGAACGATCGGCAAAAAAGGTTATGGCATCAGTTTTTTGGGATGCAAAAGGGGTTTTGTTGATTGATTATCTTGAAAAAGGTAAAACAATTAACTCTGAATATTATTGCAACCTTTTGGACCAGTTGGATAAAAAAATTGGTGAAAAAAGACCCGGTTTACAGAAGAAAACAATCATTTTTCATCAAGACAATGCACGTGTTCACACAAGTTTTTTGACGATGGTTAAATTGAACGAATTAAAGTACGAATTGCTTGAACACCCACCGTATTCACCAGATTTGGCTCCCTCCGACTATTACCTCTTCAGAAACTTGAAACAATTCCTTCGTGGAAAGCGTTTTTCGTCGAATGAAGAAGCTATTGCAGCCGTGGAACAGTATTTTGCAGAGCTTCCGGAAAATCATTACAGAGATGGTATAAAATTATTGGAGGATCATTGGAATAAGTGTGTTCAAGTTGAGGGAGATTATATTGAATAAAAAAACTGATTTCATTAAAAAATACACATTCTTTCATTTTTGCTTTCAAAACTTTTCAACCAACCTGTAATAAAAATTTTTAAATATTTTGGAGGGCAGATATGTTTTCTGTATTGAGTAGTCTAGAAACAATTGACCTATCTCGAAAACTAAACAAGCAATTAGCGGTAGTTTGCGACTGAATGAATCTGCTCTAATTAGGAGCGCTATTCCTAATAAGAACTTTATGTAAAAAATGTTACGAATAAGAACAGGATACCCAAAACAAGTAAAACATCGAGGGCGGGGTGCGGGTGTGAGTATGGGTGTAACTATTGTATTCGTCCACACCCACATTAAGGGTAGAACAAAAACTGTCCACTTCCAACGGTACTTCTAGTCAACCGAAGTATTAAAAAAAAGCATAGTTTTCAGTTCACTTAAAAATGTCTTCTCTAACGAACGATCAGTTTGAAGTTAAAATCGCTTGGCAAAAATTGGCACCGTTCTGAATAAACAAGTAACTTCATTAAAGAGATAGCTACTTAGGTCAGTCCCAAAGTATTCTATACAGTCCGATAGAGAAAAGAATACTCTACAAGTATTTTTTTGAATAACTTTTGAGTGAAAGAAGATAGAGGGTGTGGATGTGGATTGGTGGCTTATTGTACTTATAATCACACCCACACCCACCCTCAGAATGATCTCAGGTATTTGTGAATCTTCAAATTTTCCATTACGGTCGTTTCTGGTCGTCGTAAAGCTCGATCTGAGGAGCAAACAAGACCCATATCTCTTCTCGCTACACATTCTAAACTCTTTGAAAAAGTAATACTGCAAAGGGTAAGACATTGGGCAGAAAGCAATCAACTCGTGCCACCAGAACAATCCGGATTTCGACATGGCTGTCTTCTTCCTACCCGACTTCTCTCTATTTATCAGGAAGTGAGCAACAATATGGCAGCAAACGTACCAATATTTACTCTAAACGTAGACTATCAGAAAGCAAATGACAAAGTATGGCACGAAGCACTATTGGTTAAACTATATCGTTTGGGTATACAATGTGGTTTGCTTAAACTTATTGCTTCGTGGCTCAAGAACAGGCAGGCGTATGTAGATTTTGGAGGTACGAGCTCAAACATATTGTATATTTTCACCGGGCTTTCATGAGGGAGTAGCTTAAGCACATACCTATTCACTGTTTTTCATAGTGATCTTATTTCCTGTTTTGGAGCACACTCTGCTCATATGTTTGCAGATGACCTGAATGTTTTGATACGTTCTCCTTTATCATCAAAATTTTCACTAATGATAGAATATTTAGAAAACGAAGGGACTAAGGTATGTAATCAAATTTCAGTTTATTCAAGGAAATGGAAACAATCAATAAATATTAATAAAACAATAGCCCAAATCTTCTACTCACAGGTAGCCATACTCCCAATAAATATCTTCATGGATGGACAAAAGATCGAAACAGTGAAGTCTTTTAAAAATCTTGGATTTACTTGGACCAGTAAATTGTCTTTAAAACCAACAATTGACATGTGTGTCGAGAATATACAGAGATCGCTTGGTAAATTGAAATGGTTAAAATCTGGAAAATCATTATCAACAACAGTACTACAAACATGGTTTTTTGCCTATACCTTCCCACATGTCGCTTGAATGTTTTCCAATACTACCCAAAATCGATCAAGAAACTTTGAGGCGTAAATTTCGAGTAGGAACGCGACTTGTTCATCGATGTTCCTTTGTGTCAGAACAGAATCTATTCACGATAACCAATGAAAATCCTCTCGATATTTATGTTAAAAAATACATTAAAGCAAATTTATAAATCGGACTTGAAACGTTCTCCTTTTTTTAATGATATACTTTTTTGGGGCGATTTTAACAAAAGTGAAGGAGAGGTCATTTTTTTCTGGATGGAAAGAGTTAAAAAATTGAAAGATAGACATGAGACTCTATCGCTTAAATGGATCGAGTTTGTCGATTAAATTGCCATGCGTGCATAGATATGCCTTTGTTTAAGTGTTCCGTTTTTTTTTCTTTTTGCTTGCATTCTCATCCTGTTTATCTGCCTTTTTTCTCCCTTATGTATCCTGTCTCTTGATGTTTCTTTTCTGTATTAGTGCTCTCTCTTTTTTTCAGACTCTCTTTCAATTGTTTTTTCCTCGTGCCTTTTCTTTCTTTAGGTTTGTTCATTTTTCTTTTTATCTTCTTTCTGATTTCTCTTCCCAAAAAAGCTCAAAGCGTACTATGATAGCTTGATGTCAGAAATATGAACCCTTGCATATGTTACTATAGACTATTGCATGCTATAATTTTAAATCTAACTTCATCTCCATATAAGCGCTTCCGAACGTAACAATAAATAGCAATATCAAAAAAAAGAAAAACTATTCAATTTATCTAATAGATGATAGCATCCTTCAAATAACAAAGAGTGATTACAGCAATATCATTCGAAAAAAGTTCATTTTTCAGTTTTAAATAAAATCAACATAACAAGAACTATTTTCTTTTAGTTTTTAATTTCTTTTCAAATCAACTTTAGTTGTTATTCAAAATCTTGATATTCTTCTTCAATAAGCTTTTATTATCTTAAAATCATTCAATCATCTGTATTCATCTCCGTATTGCACAAACTCCATGTTTACTCATAGATGTTCAATTTTCAGATGAATAGTTACTTGTTTATTTTCTGATTGAATACACTAATCAATATCCTAATCATATTGACTTAATCAAAAATGCGCAATATCTTTAGAAATTCTTGAATCCTAATGGAAACTTTTTTTAAAGAAACAGCAATTTTTTTTTTCTTCCTGAATGTGTTTTTTTTTTAGTCACTAGGCAAATCGTCAACAAATGAATAAATATTCAAATTTTTTCATGTATCATCATGGAATACATGAAGTGACAACTTTCCAACGAAGACGATCACATATTATTTCTTAATACTTGTATAGAAAATAGAACCATTTTCGTTTTTTATTAAAATATGAACAACAAAACAATGACTTAAAAATTGCTTCAATTACGACCTATTATTTATTTTTTTTTAATTTTGTGATATAACACAAGTTTTATTTAATCCAATGACGTATATATTAATTTATTTTTTAAGTAGAGCAATAGCAACAGCAGCAAGACCTAAATGAAAAAATATATTTATTTAAAAAAAAAAATATTGAAATTCGAATGTATCGAGAAAGAATAATATTGTAAATGCATAGCCTCATGAGATACTTACATAGTTTTTTTAAAAGTCTTTGACATTCTCAAGAATAAATGATATTTACAAAAAAAGAACTTATTTTTGTCATAACTCTGAATGTATTGTAAAGGTTATGAGAGTATTATTTAGTAGTTTATATAAAAGATTTTCTCATTGGTTGAAATGAAATTGCCAAGATAAATTTATGATGCATAGCATTGAGAAAATTTTTTTATACATTTCATACTTTGTGTCATTTTTCTTATATATGAAAAAGGAAAATGCTTCAAAGATAAACAGAAGTAATGCATTCGTTTAATTTTATATTCATAGTTCTACGGTTGAAGGTCTCTGCGATTCTATTAATATCAATTCTAAATTGGTATAGCTACAGCAGTAAAATGTTGCGTAACTTTATATTATATCTATGAGAAAGTTTCAGTAAAATTAAGAAAATCTACTAGAGTTTGAATCTAAGATCCAGTCAATTGATCTTCGATAAGATACCAATGGCCTTCATTATGTTTATAAATTTTTTATTTCTTTACCTCCAACAAGAAGTGCTCCTGCACCTACAGCAATACCAGCGCCAATATCTAAACAAATAGAAAAGAAAAAGAAAATGTTTGTTATATAGGAAGATATGATATCAACATACATCCTTCACGAGTCATTCGTCGTGTGATTTCGTCTTTCAGATTTTGTGCTTGATGATTACCGGGTTGAACATGAAGAATAGCATCGATAAATTTTAATGCTGTTTCATATTCATTTAATCGAGCATTACCTAAATAGAAATATATATAAATTTTTCTTATTTTTTATTATGAAACGAACATCTTACCAAGTGCTAAATAAAATAAATAATCTCTTTTATCCTCATCTTGTCTTGTTGAATCATAAAGTTCTTTTAATAATTGTAAACCATAACGTATTTCAGCTTTAACTTTACTTCGTACAAGACAATAAGCAAATGAAAATTTATTTTGATTTGTCACTTGATTTGCTTCTTTAGCTTTTTCATATACAGTTCGACAACGTTGAATTTCATCAGGTAAAATAATTTCTTCTAATAATTGTTGACTTTGTGCCATATTTAGTCGATGTGTGAATGTATGAAGATAATGTAGTAACAAATCTATAAATATATATGATGAAAACAGAGATGAATCAGACGTGGAAAAAATAAGTAAATAAACGTGAGTCATTCATGACGTGTCACTTAAGGAATAGAGGTAAATTTATTTTTCACCGGAGAAAAGAACAAAAAAAAAAAAGAAAATCTAACAGAAACATAATAAATCTGCCCATTTCATTCGAGAAAAGCATAAAAATATTGATGTTATTTTCGCATTCTATAACTTAAGTATAATTCACTAAAAGCGAAAAGTTAAGATGAACAAATAGACAAAAAAAAAGAATTCAGTTCAAAAAAGAAAATATCCACATTCTTTATTAATGATAATATGGTTGAAGTAATTGTAATACTTGTTCGCAATTATGAACTGTCGTAGTTATATCTTCATGTTCCAAAGCTGAATTAGCATAACGAAGTAATTTTTGTGCTTGAGATATGACATCAAATGGAACATCTAGAAATAAATATTAAATTTTTTTTTCATGTACCTTCATTGTTTTACCTTTATGGCTTGTTATTTGATTATAAACAGATGCAGCAGGATTTGATGATGGCATTTCTGGTGGTTTCGATGGTGATATATTGTGAGCGCTAGCATCGATATGACTATCAGCTAAACAATTATACAAATAAATATTAAATAATTATCAAAGATTTATCTATGTACGAGGTCTTATTGCTGATGATGGGCCACTACTACCAGCACCGGATTTTAAATCACGAAATATTGCTACTGCTCGACTTTTAGCAATTTTACCTAATGTGATAAACTAAAAATAAAAAAAACATATTTAAACGTTCATAGTTTTTTAAATTGATCTTTACATCATCTTGAACTGTTCCAAATACAGAAAGAACATCTGCTAATCCACCGACAGTATAATGTTTTCTCATAAGTAAACGTAATTGTTCAGAAGTTTTATGTTCATCATCCTCAGCTTTATTCGTTTCAGTGACAAGAACACTTATTAATTCTTCAATTGTTGCTTGACCAGTTGCCATAGATTTAATCATTTCATCATTTGGATTATTTCGTTTTGTCTAAATTACAAAATTCAATAAAGATAATCGAATTTTTTCGATAGAAAATAAAAGAAAAAGACAAATTTTTCTATATGAAATTAAGAATTCCTTTAGTCATAACACCACCTATCGAGTGATAAGACCTTAAGTCTCCTATGATCGTAAATCTATATTCTCTCGTTTTTCTTGTTGTGCACATTTATTCATGTTTGTTGCATGCATTCTTTCAATTGTTAAACTTCTTGTAAACTACTTCATTCAGTCGTTCACTCCTTCATATTTAGTGTCATCATTTGCTACTACAAAGTTACACTTGGCATCTTGCCCGTCCCGAAGAAAAACGTTGGTGATTATCAAAATCAGCTTCTGAACACTTTTTCCTTTCTTCACAAAAACAAATCGATATGTTTTCAAACGTACTCTAAAAATAGTGCATTGAAAATTTTAAAAATACACTTTTGTTATTTGTTCTCACTTCAAGCTTTTTCAATTCTATTAAAAAGAATTCTCGGACGAGATTTATTGTAACCAGTTAGTTGTTTGTTTCTCAAGAATATGTTTTACCACAAAACTTAAAAGACTTTAAGTTATTATATGGACAAAATCAACGAAGAAAGAGCATGACTGACTTCAATTTAACATTGATTATTTTGTTAAACAATATCTTTTTTTCATGAACATATGTATAAATGGGATCCGGACAGTTGCTCGCTATAGGACCCTATGTAACTGTTATAACGAGCAAGTGTCCGCGCACAACTGTCCTAAACCCTACGTACGCACTGAAAATATTTGTCCTTTGCGTCGTATCACTAACATTATTTTCTCTGAATATCAAGAGTAACTTCAGAATACATCGGCTAAATAAAATTAGCTCAAAGAAATGCTCAAGTTGACAAATATAAGCATTTTTATTTTGCGGCTTCCTCTAACCTTCTTCACTGCATGCATTAGTAACTGAAACGAAAGATCATTGAGCACGAGTTCTTCTCTAACTACTAAGGACGACAGATGTTAGACGCCTTTTTCCATAGTTTCTCAGCGACAAAAAAAGCACTGAACAGTATTAACAACACTACGCAGACTGTTCTCGAACATTTCCAAGCTTTTAACGATTATATAATAAATATCAGAGACATATCGATTTACGATAGTTGTTATTTATCCAACACAAACAAAAAAAGAAGGAGCTAATCAAGTTCTAACATCCGGAAATAATCTTCGTATGTCAGTATTTCTAAGTTCATTGAAATACATAATAACGAATTGAGACATTTAGCAGAAATAATTAATATGTAAAGAAAATTTATTTATCAGTTAAATCAATGGTTAGAATAATAATAATAGTGAATCAAAAATAAAAGGAAAATAAATAAATAACAAGCGAATACCACCAAATCAAATAAAAAATAGGGCATCAGTAAAGAAAAATTTCATGTTCGAAATATAGAAATAATATAAGACAGATCGTTTTTCTTACAATCGATTATACTTGAAAGGTAATCATCGTCTGTTCGAAAATTTTCGTTTTACATATTCTGTCTTAGTACAATGAATCTAACGAATGCATATAACTTCTAAAGTTTACCTTCAAAGGAACTGTGCTGATAAGATTTATTAGAAAGGCATTGAACTTATCACTGTCGTCTTTTTCGTATAAACAGTAAGCATCTTAAGGCTCTGTCTTGTCCTTCAACCAAAAGGTGTCTAAGAAATAAAAACAAATAAGGATTTCGAAATCAATTTTCATGTAGAAGACTTCTAGAAAAAAACAAAAGTCACAAAATAATAAATATCTCTACATACTGCTTCAAGATAATCAAGTACATTTGAAACAAATTGTTTATCTTTTTGAAGTTTAAGTGCTTCATTTGCAATATACATTAAACAATAATATGTTATTGAAATCATTCCTGGATTTTTTTCATATTCTTTAGCAATACCAAAATGTTGCATAAGTTTAACACGTAATTCTTGTGGAATTTGCGATGCTAATGTCTAAGAAATATATTTTGAAATTTTGTTTTCTTTTCAAATAAAATAACTATATCTTACATCTAATGTCGACATATTTATATTAAATGAAATAAATTAATTTATCTAAAAAGAACGCAAAAGAAAATGTCTTGTTCCTGTTTAACAGACAATGATTTAGAGTTTTATGATAAAAATTTTAATAGAATATTTTTAAATTAGTCTATGATTCCATGCGTTCCGTTGCAACGACAACTCGTGGTTCTGCGCCTGCATCCGGTGGTGGAGGAGGAAGATTATCGTCACCAGTAACCTAACAAAATAAGAAAAAAAAAAAAACAGTTTTCAAAATGTTAACAAACTATTTTTTTTTTCTTTCATTTTCATACTAATGTATCATCTTGAGCTTGTGGTGCACGTTCATCACCTTCTATTGCTGTTAAATATGTTCCAATTCGAGCATCATCTAATATAGCAAATGGTGTATCTTTACCAACAACAGCTACAGCACAATTCTAAACAACAACAAAAAAAAAAAGCTTTTAGCGAAACTTCTGCGAGATTAAAATGTAAAACACGATTTAGTTGCTAATCACATAGAGATTGTTTTATTTCATACATTATAACAAGATGTTATTGATATACAGTATCTATTATAGCAGAGTTGTAATCGGTTCGGTCGATTTATTGGAGCAGCTTCAGAAATATAATGTTATAGTATTATTAGTATTTGTTTGGTTTTTCAAAGATGAATATCTGACATATTTATATATAGCACGAAAAAGAAATATTTACCTATCAACCGACACCAGGCATTGTGAACTCATATTGGGTTCACAAGAGGATCTCGATAAGACTAATTAGGATTCGTGCCAATGGACTGCTAGAGCTCAGTTATGTCCGTTTACCTCGACTTTCGATCCAAACTTAGGTATTTTACCGAAAAATCAAATAATGAAATTTCGACTTGAAATTTTTCTCATAGATAGTCCTGATGACTCGAAAAGTATCCTGGAAATTTCAGTCGAAAATCCATTATTTAATCTTTCACTAAATACCTAAATCTTGATAAAAAATTCAGTAAAACAATCATAACTGACGATGGAAGGTCCCCAACTGATCAATGGCTTTTGTGTTGAGACTATGCACATTATGTAGGTGCAAAAGAGTTATGAATACTCTGAAAAAAGTTTGGGCTGCTAGCTTATTCCTACAGAGATACTGCACTTTTACGATATGTTTTTAAATGAAAGCTGTGGTCCCTCTCAGGAACACTAGAAAAAATGATTTTCGAATTTCGACTTGAAACTTAACATATAAACAGACCTTACCGAGAATAGTATTTTGTAAAAGTTTCAGATCTTTTTGCTGTTGTTATCGGTAGATACAACTGGGATAATGTCATTCAGATAAACCCAAAGATTTGATGTTGTCATTTCAAGATAAGAACAAATAGAAAGGCCTGAAAGTTTCACAAAATACTATTCTCGGTAAGGTCTGTTTATATGTAAAGTTTCAAGTCGAAATTCGAAAATCATTTTTTCTGGTGTTCCTGAGGGGAACCACAGCTTTCATTTAAAAACATACCGTAAAAGTGCAGTATCTCCGTAGCAATAAACTAGCAGCCCAAACTTTTTTCAGAGTATTCATAACTCTTTTGCACCTACATAATGCGCATAGCCTCAACGCAAAAGCCATTGATCAGTTGGGGACCTTCCCTTGTGAGATCAAACAGTGGATATTAACTCGGATAGTTTTCTCGTCAACCTTTACAGACAAATCTAGCATTTCTCTTCCAACGATCATCAAAGTCTTAATTTGAACTTTAACAAAAAATATATGAAATAAATTTAGGTCAAGTAACACAATTTTGATTTTTTTTTTTTTAGAAAAAGAAGTATTCTTCGATTCATATGATAAGAGCAGGCAAAACTTGTTCACAATGTTTCACAAGAAAAAAAAGAATAAAATAAAAAATTTTGAATATTTACTTTAACTGTTAATTCAACTTCATTTGGTAATGTATCACGTAATGCTCTCATACAATGTTTAATAAGTTCATCCTGATTTGAATCAGGAAATTTATCTAAATTTTTTTCAAGATATGTTCGAGCTGATTGAGAACGTGCACCAATAGCCATTGATTTGCATGAATAATAATTAGCCGATGGACATAATTGATATAAATGACTACCTTTTTCCTATTAAATAACAAGAAAATTATTTTTGATTTTTTAATAACATTTAAATATAAACATACATCATAACCAGCCATAAGAAAACCAACACCAAATGGCCGACGTCCATAACGTTGAGTTGGTACTTGACATTCTAAAATTGATTGAAAATAATAAATAAAACTGAAGATCATCTTTTTCTTACTATTGCTAACATGATCCATTAATCTTATTACTGGCATTGGTTTATCAAAACCATATTGATGATTAATACATTCTGTACGCATATATCGACTAAAGACAAACAAAAAAAGAAAATATTTTTCTTTTTTTTTTGGTATAATAAGGTTTCGTTTTTCGTACCAAAGTATACGAGCATCAGATGCCAATCCAGCAATAGAAACACCAATATGATCATCAATAAACATAATTTTTTTTTGATGAGCTGATAATTCTGATGGTGCTCGCTAACAGTAAAAAAAAAAAAGCAATATTTTAACTTAAGTTATGAAAAAATATAATTACTTTTAAAGCACAAAGAACAACATGTGTCTTAGATTTTACTGCTACTGTAGCTGCACCTTGTTTAACTGCTTCCATAGCATATTCAATTTGATAAAGTCTTCCCTAAATATAAATATATTAATCGAAAAAAAAGGGAAAACAAAAAAAAATTTTTTTACTTGAGGACTCCATATGCTAACATCATGATCATATTGATTACGAAACTAAAGAAACAAAAAAAAAAACTCTACTAAGGATATTATTAATATAAATTTAATTACCATTATTGATTTTCAGTAAGAATTAATCGATTAAGTTATTCTAAAATATAGAATAAGAAAAAAACAAGAACATAAAAGCAAACGCAAAAGAACTTTTTCTAATATGTCAATTGAATAATTCAATCTATCCAATAGATTATTAACAAATGAAAAAAGGAAAAGTTTAATTAAAACTTTATCAAAGATTTTTCGATTATTTTTTTTCTTAAGAAATACTTTTGATAGAGAAAACAAAGATTATATTATAACCATATATGGAAAAATTTTCATAGATGACGCTACAAGATAGAACGTACACAAATTGATGAACTCAAGATTTTAGTCTAGAAAAATTCACCTTCTAATAGGTATTAATCAAAAGTAGATTTTAACATTTAGAAAAAAAAGACATGATGACAATAAACCATATCCTAGTGAATGCACTGAGGAGAGTCCATGGGATTGAAAATTTTCAAACTCGAACAAATTCATGTTCGAGTCTGTTTAGAAATATTTCCTTAGTTTCTAGGATGAGCACAACAAATTATTAACTTCGAGTATCTTGTTTTAGATTATGCTTTCCCAATAAAACTGTGAAATAGAAAGAAACCTATCATGACAAATGCTATTCATCATGTCCCACATATGATAAATTAATGTAGAAGAAAGATTTCTGATTTGAATAATCCTCAAAAAAAAAGATGTAATGTCTACAAATTACTACGTATTAGATGATTATCTTTTTTTGTGTTATGATTAGATTCCGTCACGTAGATTCTAGATCTTAAATCTGAAAATTTTCTCTTGACCGGATCCGGAACTGTCACAACGGGCTCAACTCTCAGACTAAGCGCTAATTATAACAATTATTATAAGATTATTGTCAAGATTGCTTAAAAAACATGCAGAGTACAAGTTACTGATTATAAATAATCGAGAAAAAGCATCTTACAGCTTCACATTCGAAATTAGAAAATTTCATTAAGTACCGTTCGAAATTGACAAAGTTTAATCAATAAGATGCGGATTTGAACATTTTTGGAACCCAAAGTCTAACCTTTTTTTTCGTATTTATTTTCCAAATAAATCAAAAAGAATATAAAGACTTACGATAAATTCTTACAGGTCATCCGTTAAATACTACTGATTGTTAACTACGAAAAAAAAAAACTTCGAATTGATATTCTTGAATGCAAACATAACAAAAAAACGACAAAATGATATTTATTTTAATCGTATTTTGAATACACATACAGAAAACATTTACGAAAAGTATATACTAGACAAAACAAACAGAAAAATTATTATTTTTCAGATCCATTTGCTGATGTTGGATTGATTGATGCAGGTGACATTTCACCTCGATCACCGCATACACTATCCATACCAATGTCATCATTATAAACATGTTCAGCCTAAAATATAACATTAGAAAATTTCTTGTTTTTTTTTTTTTTGAATGATTTATTAAATAATATTAATTTACAATTTGCCAAACTTGAGCCATATTATCTTCAGATACAGAACATATAACAAATGGTTCATTTGGATTCCATGAGAAATCAGAAATTTTAGCTGCATGACCACCATGAATAAACTAAAAATAAATAAATGATTAAAATAATATATAAATAAGTTTTTTATTTACTAAAAGTTCAGGTGGACCATCTTCTGCTTCCGTTAATGTTTGTGGTTGATTAATTCGACTAAATATTTTATATAATTAAATATGAAAAAGAAAAGAAAAAAAATTTTAAATATTTACCTTAAATCCCATATATGAAGTCGTCGATCTGAACCACTTGATGCAAAAATAGTTTCATTTTGAGGTGACCAATGTGTCTAAATAGTAAAATAAATTAAAGAATAATAATTAGAAAAAAATTGTTTTTTTTTTTCGATTTACTTGAAAAATTTCATCTTTATGAGATTCAAATGTAGCTATTTTTATTTTTAAATTTCTTAAATCCCATAAAGCAAGTGTTCTATCAGCTGAACCAGTTAAAAGAATATATTCCGAAAATGGATTAAAAGCAATCTAAAATAAGAAAAATAAATCTATTAGAAAATAAATTAAATAATTCTTAATTACACAATTAACTTCAGCTGAATGTGCATCAACTATATGACTAGCTTTAGCATAATTATTTGATCTTGTATCCCAACTTTAAAATAAAATTTAAAAATAAAAGAAACAATTCATATGAAATTAATAAAATACTTACATCATCAATTTTTGATCATCACCTACAGAACCAAATATTGTCGGATGTTTACAATGCCATGCAACATCCTATGATAAATATAAATTTTCATTTACGATATTGAGTTGATATTTTCCATGCATACGTGCGGCAATATATTTTGATTACAAGCATCAATCAATTCGTCATCGGTTAGCGTGTAGACTCAATATCGTAGTTATCTCTAGTCTGAATTTTTCTAGAAATTATTTTGAAATAAGAAATGTCTGTTGAAGAACAAATACTGGGTTTTTTTTAGTAAGATGGATCTTTTTCACGATGTATTTGATAGGGAACTGCAAAGTGGCCCCGGGACCGGGACTAAAAAATTTTCATACTGGTCCCGGTCAGTCTTTTATGCAATGTGTCGTCATTTATCTTATTTTTTTGACAATAGTAATGGCGATTCAGTATAAATAATCAATTCGATAATAAATCCATTAGATAGAACAGTAGATATAAAAGAAGAGAGAAATGAGTAAATGACTACTACGAAGTACATGAGAATTTTTAACAAAATTCAATGGTTATTTTTATTTATTCGAATTTTCAATGAAATTCTTTCACTTTAACACTGGATATAAAGGAATTCTCGTACTGTTAACGAATCAAAATCATTTATGTCAATTTTATGTATTTATAAAAGTACATAGATCGTAAAAAAAAATTGTTCGATTTTAGGAATGAAGCTAATGTCAAAGACCGGGACCGGGACTAAAAAAAGTGATTTTGCAGTTCCCTAGTATTTGACCAATTCACTTGAAATATTTTAGTAGAAAGTTCTTATGAAACGACAAGTGTATTCTGAAAGTTTTAAATGAAGTTAGGTTAGTACGACGACATGGATTCCTTATCTGAGAGCATACTAATTACTAAAATCTTGATTGTGTGTCACAGACTTTGGTGATAATAAAGTAGATACATGAATATGCCTTTAGTACTCGAGACAACAAAACATTAGTATCTTGTGAAATCACAATATGCCAAACAATTACTTTTTAAATGAATATATTTTTCACACGGCAAAAAAGATATGTGAACCGATGGAAAGCGGGTTAGTGCTTGCGATCAGGTTTTATTGTCACACGTATACACCTAAAATATCAACTTAATATCATAACAAGTAGTAGTACTTCACGGAGGAATAGATACTTCAAGCTAAGGTTATTGATTAATGTATACGATAGCTTTTGAATAAACTGAAACTTCTACTAAAGTGATTTTTCAAAAAAAAATACTCTGTGAAGATTTAAGTCTATTGGAATTGAGCTATTTCAAACGAAAAGATTATGAAGTGAAATCTCAGAACAAATTTGAAATTTCTTTTAAATCTCGAAAATAGATTTCTGCATTAATAATAATCAACTTCAGTAATAAAATTCTTAGAACAAACATTAATCTGTCCCTATCTCAATATTTTCTTATTAATGAGAGTTCATTAGGAAATATTTGAAAATAAAGCAATCGCTTTTTTTTCGAGAGAGAGAAAGAAAGATGATCTAAAAGAAGTGTTGAAGTATAGGGATAGAAGTTTGAACTGTTCCCACAAATCTCGACCAACGAACTATAACACATCGAAATCTACTACAGACTTCGTCCTTGTTTCTCATTCTCTTGCTTATATAATAATTAATATTTTTCATTATTAAAAGTCGATAGGAATTTACAAACCGAAGTAAAACCTAGTGAATTCTCTCTTCTACAATATTAGCAACTTCATCATGTCTCATATTATAATCCAACAAGGATTACGCTAACAAATTTTCTTACTTCAACAACCATTGAATGTCCAGTATAAATCGATAAAGCATCTAAATTTTTTCCTTGTTGTGGTTGCATATTTATATTCCATAAACAAACAGTATGATCATCAGCTGCACTAAGTAAATGTCCATTAGCATTTGAATTCCATGATAAACCATAACCTTCTCTTGTATGACCTTTTAAACGTATTTCAGGATTACAATCACCTGATTGTTCTTTACCTAATGGATGTGTATCAATATTAAATATTAATACATCTGATAAAGGTGTTTTAGTTGCAATTATTTGAGGATTTTGTGGCATATAACGTGCACGATTAACTTCTCCTTCATGATTAATTTTTGTATCAACTTCTATACGACCATTAATTAAACCGAAACCACCGAATTCAGCTCTTTCATTATCGTAATGAGAAGTATCTAACTCAAAATCTTCTTTTGGTAATTGTACACTAGCTATAACAAGATGATTTTGTTCATCAGATGTATGTGTACCAAGTATTAAACGATGTGTATTATAATCTCGACCTTCTTCCCTATCAAGAAAAAGCTTTTCGATATTAAAAAAAAAAATCAATTAATAAATTTTCATACGTTCGAACATGTGGTAACCATTGGACAGTCAAACTAGGCCATTCAAGTGCATGAGTTATAACAAGATTATATAGAAATGGTGCATTCTTTTTCCAAATTTTATATTCTTCATTAATTGCTTTTTCTTCTATATTATCTTCAAATTCACCTACGAATAAATGAAATTATTTTCAAGAAAATTTTTTGAATAAATTTTTTTTACCATCTACATTCTCTTTTAGAGTTGCCATTTTGAAATTTTATCGTAATGAAGTGGAAAAACTAATTTTTTGCCTACTTGCTTCACTATTCACAAAAAAAAAAAAGAAGAAGTATTTTATTGGTGAGTATAAGGTGAAGAATAAGAGAGCGTCGCCGATTCAACTTAGTTAGCTAGTGACATCTATCTGAAAAAGACTGCAATGTATATATATATATATATCGGAGATACAAAAATTTGATTCAATTCAATATAAGTATTGTTAATGGAAATGAATTCATTTTTGAAAATACTTCTTCTACAGTATTTCGATCATAGGCGGCGGAGCGTTTTTAAAAACGTCGGATCTCAAATTCAGAGCATGGGATCCAGACGAAACGTAATGGAGAATGGTATTGGAGTAAAATGATCTGTTGAATGTCAAAAAATTTTTGCCATTGGAGTTTGCGAAAAAAGTTTTTTTTTCCTGAGCCTTACCTGAATTTTTCTTTCGCTGTTAGTAGTATTTCGTTTTTTAGAATTCCATAGTAATCTACATCGAATTTAATCGATAGATTTCAAATTTCATTAAATAATAGAGATCCGTTCAGAAGTTATAACGTTTTGATTCTTATTCAAAATTGCTAAAAATTTTAGCAAAATTTCAAAACGTTATAACTCCTGAATGGATCCATATTATTTAATGAAAATTGAAATCTATCGATTAAATTCGATGTANTGCCCCACCACCATAAATTAAATATTAAGAAAAAATCGGAAAATGTGGTGTTAATTTTTTTTTTTTAAAAAATTTGGAATTTTCTTTTTTAATTTGAAAAAAAAAAAAAAAAAAAAAAAGTTAATCAATAAAAAAAACAATAAATAATTGTCATTCGAATATTTGATAATGTTGACATGAAAATAATAATCTTTCTATTTCTATCCATATTAATCAACATTTCATCATTTATAGAAGACAATCAGATGCATTGAAATTAAGAAGCACAAGTCGAAGTAATCATTTTTCTTCTAGTCAAATGTACTTGTGTTCTCGAAGGCATATACATCAAATTGAGTTGACGAAGTCCTGCAATGGTTGATTTCTTTCTTTTTTTTCTTCTTCTATTGCATGCTATTTCAATGCGCAATACTATATACTCATGATAAGGTGTCTGGTAGTCTACTATATATTCTCTTTTAGTTGTTATTATTGGCTTCTGTTGACGATAATGCTAAACCTTCGTATATACATGTATATATATATATGTGTGTATGTATGCTTAGTCAATAGCACCTCTCCATGTATAAAATTGTTTATTCTATAAATGGATTGACGTTGAAATAAGAGAATTAAAAAAAAAAAAAAAAGGAATGAAAGACTGTATCAAATCAACAAGTTGTTGGAAATAGTCTTGTACCTTTTTCTTTTTTCCTTGTGTGTTCTTTTCTTTTCATTTGGCCAATTACTTTTTAACGCAGATGAGATGAACTTGAATGGTATCATCGATTCTCTCCAACAACGATGATAGACTAAGGTTTCAATAAAATTTTTTTTTTAAAATTATACAAGAAGCCTCTTCATCATCATTCGATCAAAAAGAAGAAACGTAGTTAGACATTCATTAGTTAAAATGAGCATGACAAGTTATTTTCATCCAAAATTATATCTTGATAATGATTTTACATATCATTTACGAAATCCAACAACACGGTAAGCATTTAAAATACTAACACAGGTGCGACTTTTGTATACTCTTAAAATAACATGAATTGATCGATTATTGTTTATTTTTACAATAATCATTCTTGATCTATATATATATACCCTTCTAGCAGTGATATCTGTTCTTATTCGAATACACGTACATGTCTCTAATTGAATGTCCTTTTGTTATTTGAAGAATTATTCTCAGCATTAATCTCAAATCAATATATATATATATATGTGTGTGTATTATTCTTGTTTTTATGCATCCGATCGATCGCAATCGATAATGAATTGTGAAGATGGAAACGGCACGTCTTCGTTTTTATATGTATATATATTTATTTCATGTTCAAAGTCAAAGCGCATGCACTAGGGACTCGTATAAAAATGAAGAGAAACAAAAACAGAGCAATACTATTGTATTTGTACTTGACAGAGTGCATTTTAAACAAAAGAGATCGTCAAATGTATAAAGAAGAGCAAATACTCTTGAACATAGACGAACAAAAAAGAAGAATAAAAGAGTTAGATGATGAATTTTTGATGAAATCTCAACAATCATCTTTTTAATAACAAATTATAAGTAAAACTATGTTAAAAAAAAAAAAAGTAAAATAAAAGCCTTCAACGTTATCAATATGAAAATGCTCTTAATTTCAGTAAGAAAAAAAAATATAAATATAGTCGGATGATCATGATGATTATTTTTTTAAGAGAAAAGAAACCTTTAAAATGTTCATCTTTGTTCCTTTCTTAACGTAAGAGAAAAAAAAACGAACATCAGACTCAAATCATTGATACACATCAAGTTGATGTGTGAAACCTATTTCGATTATTTTTTTTTTTTCAAAACTATAAAATCTCTTGCCTTCTCTCATTTCTCATATTCATTTATTCTGTTTTACATGCTTTTTTTTTCCCTTCATTCATAAATCGTACAGTAAGTAGATACCATTTGTTCTCAATTAATAAAGCTTGATTTTTTCTTTTGAACATTTCAAACACATTTATATATATATTCCGTTAGTTTAAACTAATCAATCGTAAATGAATGATTATGTATTAAACAAAAAGAAAAAGAAAAAAGCGGCTAATCAACTTGTGCAATTCGATCTTATTTCTATCTCCGCCTTTACACGTGAAAAGTCAGCTATATTATTGTTATTATTGACATCATCAGCAAACATATAAACGATTCAATAGAGATAATCATACTATTGACTTTAAATGAAAACGAAAATCTTTTAAAAAAACTTCAACTATACAAATAAATACTCTTCGAGAATTAGATAGATGATATCAGTAAATATGAAATGACAAAAAAAAGAAATAGAATTGAAAAGAGCTTGTTACTAATTCAAGTGTTACTTGTACTTCAATAAAAGAAAGAAAGAAAAAAGAAATTCATGGGCACGTACATATCTTGATTGGATGTATGTGTTTTTTTTTTTTTCTTTTTTTAATGACTATTCTGATTCGTTATTGTATATTTTTCTCGTCAACCAATTGCGAAAAGCAAATAAGAAAAGAATAACATAACTACACCATCATCATCTTGTTTGACTGGCGTGTCGAACAACATCATTAAAAGTATAGCTCGTTTCTAATAGGTTCGGTTCATCCCGAAAGGAGAGGTTGAGAGCGAGAGAGAGAGATTTTAATCTCCTTTTTTTTTTCCTCCTTCTTTTTCTTTTCTTGATTATGCATCGCATTCGAACGAATAGCTGATAGGTTTCTTCTTGCACAAGAGAAAAAAAAAAAAAAGTAATAATACAAACAGGGTAAGAGAGGAAAGAGAAGAGAGAAACATTGTGTTTTCATGCAATAATTGCAACGACAACACAAGCAAAAGTAGTAGTAGTCGTCTTTGAATCTCTAAAACATAATGACAGCAGTAAATCGCATTGGCATGGATTCGGCTACAGCCGATGTTTCATCATTGTGGCGTGCTGCCGATACTTCATCATTCGATGGGTAAGTTATAACAAAAAAAAAAAAAAAAAAAAAAAAAATCATTACAAAAAGTTCAAAGAAATAAGATAACAGAAGCAACATAAAAAAAAAGAAGAAATTTGTCCACACCCATTTCTTATCAATTCATTTTTTTTTCTAATAGAAGTTTTATCTCACCATGGCGCGATCATCATCATCCTCATGAATATACTCCCTTTCGTTTTTCTGATACTCATCATCATTATGATCCAACATCATCTTATTATACGGATGCTGCTACTGCAGCAGCTCTCGACTCTTATACATCATCAACTGGAACATATTCACCATATATGGTACATCATCATTCTCCACCATCATCTGTGGCTGCAACAACTAGTTCACCTTCAATTAAACCTGAACGAGCTGCTGCTGCTGTAGCTTTACAATCCGCTTTAAATTTACCACCACCAATGAATGTTAATGTTTCAATGAATTTTAATTCTCATAGTGTTCAATATTCAACAGGTTATGGTAGTGGTTCAAGTGCAACAAATTTTGTTAATTCACCATATGAAACATTTTATAATCCAACAGGTACATCACATTATTCATTTACAAATCATTCACCTGAAATAAAATCAAATCGTACATCAAATTATTTACAATCCGATCCTGTTACAACAAAACAAGCGATGCTTTTATCAGCTGCTGCTGCTAATTGTGATTATAAAGATTTTTCAAAATTATGTGATTTTTTTCCAACACCATCATCATCATCATCAACACAAATGAATACAAATGAAAAACGAAAGTATGTTTTTTTGGTGTCTTCTTTTTTTGTTCTCTTCCAAAAAAATCTAGTCTATCATTCTAATTAGTCATTGGTCAACACCAAAATCATCAACAAATCCTAAAGCTAATGAAGGACGAATAAATCGTTGTAGAATATGTGGAAAAGTTTATGCAAGACCAAGTACACTTAAAACTCATTTACGTACTCATTCGGGTGAAAAAGTAAGAATATTCTAAATTAATAATAATAATAAAAAAAGAAGGTTTTTTTTTGTTTTGTTTTTTTTTTAGCCATATAAATGTGATAAATGTTGTAAAGCATTTACTCAAGCAGCTAATTTAACTGCTCATTTACGTACACATTCAGGAGAAAAACCATTTTCATGTGATATATGTGGAAGAAAATTTTCTCAAAGTTCATCAGTCACAACACATATGAGAACACATTCAGGTGAACGACCATATCAATGTAAATATTGTCGAAAAGCATTTTCGGATAGTTCAACATTAACAAAACATATGCGTGTACACAGTGGAGGTAATAATAAAAAAAAAATTTATTTTATATTGTTTTTTTTCTTAAAGAAAAACCATATGAATGTTCATTATGTCGTCTTCGTTTTTCACAATCGGGAAATCTTAATCGACATATGAGAATACATATGAATGGTGGTAGTCATCATACGAAATGAATTAAATGACAATATTATCTTTCTTCGTTTTCCTTTTTTTATTGTGAATCTCTTGCCCCAATCTTGTAATAATCATCATTTTTCGTTTCGTTTTTTTTTTTTCGGGCATTGTCTTTCGTTGTCGCGCGTCGTTTTGTTTTTTCTTTTTCATTTACTTTACTCTATTTTTATTTCATCGTTGCTTTTTTCGTCAATGGAAATCATTTCTATGATAGGGAAAAAGAAAATTAATATACATATATAATTAGAATGAATGAATGATGATGGGTTGATCAAGGTAGAGAATGAATTAAAATTTATTTTTGTTTTGACCAATAGAAATGAATTTTGATTCGATAGAAAAAAAAAAAAAAAAAATAGTAATAATTGATTTTTCGATGATGAATGAATAGTAAAATAGAATTGATCTTTTTGTTACAAAAAATAGGTTTTTTTTTTTTTTATTAGCAAACGAAATGTATTTTGATTGAATATGTAGGACAAAGTACATAAAAAAAAAACGCTCGTACACAATGTATGTAAACAATGTCATACGTTTGTTATATAATGTGGATTCAGAAGCTAAATAAGCGGGAGTTGATGATTATAACTATAAGTGGTAGTATTAATTGATGGTTGTTTCTTTTTTTTCTTTTTCATTAAGAAACTACTCACAAACTGTGAGTTTTATTATGGTATCTCGTCAGGGAGATTAAAATAATTTATTTTAAAAGAATATCAAGTAAATAAAAAAAATAAAAATTTAATTCTATCATTTCAATAGAATTTGTATTACTGACGCGCTTATTCCTGTTGCTAGGAAAACGTGCCCCAAAAAAAAAAACATGAAAAAGTTAAATCATCAGATAGAAAAATAATTCTTCAATCTATGTTGAGAAATCTTCAAATTTTTTCATTCTTGAAATTAAAGACTTCAGTATTCATGTATAGTATTGTTTTGTTTAAGTATTGAAATATTTTTTCGTCTCTATCTAATGATTTAATTAAGAGTGGTATTTTACTATTCTTAAAATCTCTTTTCTAATTTTATCCTGAAATTATTTCCACTTAAATTTCTCACATATACTAGTTTGTAGAAAGAGTTTTAGAATTTTTAGACTTCGTATCTTCAATATACGAATTTTTCAAAATATTTTCAAAAACATAATTTTCGAGAAAATCTTAGGTCTTATCAAGATCTCTTGTAAACCGATGTATTCTAAATTTGATAAGTTCGTAAAATCTGAATAGAAACCCAAATCATTGAAATCGAAAGAAGACATCTAGGGAGATTAATTCGTTTGCTGAACTATTAATAAGAATATCAATGCATAGTTTAGCTAAATTAATGTGTTTTTGTCTCAAACTAAAGCAAATGAATGACTCTATAAAGTCAGGATAATGATCATTCTATTAGTAGATTTTCAAGATCAGTATTTATTAACAATGATTACATTTAAATAATCACTTGCGAGGACGCACAAAACGAGTTTGATTCCTTTTTGTTTTCTGGTTTATATGAATAAAATGGCATTAAACTGGGAAAGTATTAAGAAACATGATTGATTTCTATGAATTTTTGTTTTTTGATAATTTAATGGTTATGTCTTTCTTTCATTTTATCTGAAAGCTATTTATTTACTTTCTTTATTTGTATATTGCAACAAAACTAAATTTAGAACTAAACTAGTGTACACATTTCATCATTAGTGTAAGTAAGAGACATAGTTCTGCTTTGATTGATTAAATATAAAGGAAATTATGAAGGATGACATCTATATCGCCATTGAACTTCGGAAAAGATGAAATTTCTAGATCAGTTATTTGGTTCGTCATGTACCGTTGTATTCCAGCTGCCTATACAACTCATTTCATTGAAGTTCATCAGTCTTATCTGGTATTGTGATTTTTCATGTGAAGATAAATCATCTTGTGTCGTTTTGAGACAAGAGCGCAGTATTAATTCAGTGAATGAAGATCAAACTTTTAGAGAAGACTAACTCTACTGTTAGACATTAGAGTCTAGAAGTTTCATAAACAAACTTTATATTGATAGGAAATAGTATAGCTACGACCATCGTGTTGATGAACTCATCTTTTGAGAAAAAGATTGAGTTGACAGTCTTTTTCAGGTTAAAAAGCTTAATGCAAAAACAAAGTGTTATCCATCATTATTCTTTTTGTACTTAAGAAATGGAAGCGAAATTGTGTCTCGGATCTGCACTCATGACTATTGTAATTCGAAATAAACTAATATCAAATGTAAAATCTTACCATTATGACTTGATTGATTAAAAACAAATTAACATGATATAAATAAATTCTTCTATTACAAAATCAAGTGAATTAAAACAATAACATTTATATATTTTCTTCTATGGCATTAATTGTGACCAAAAAATGGACATGAATAATATATTGTACTTAGAAAATTTTGATCACTACTGACTATCACATAGAGATCGATATTCCCATAGTATGCGGACAACACAAAAAAAAAAATACTAATCCTACAAGTATTGACATCCTATGTCTTTAGATGAAACATTTACCGCTTTATTTATCTATCTATAATGATTATTGTCATTGGACATATTGTCACGATAGATTAAGAATCAATGAAATATGATCAATTTATGATAACAATACTCATTTCAATTCTAATTAAGTCCGGACAATAAAAACTCCAAAAGAATAAAGATCCTTAAATCTTTCTAATACAAATATTTAACCATTTTAATGAAATTTAGGCCTGTAGGTACGCAGAATCGAATAACGATACTTTGACCTAAAGTTTTATCCAAAGAGATATCTTATTGTAACTAGAATGTCTTAAAGTTCTCAACACAAAAGGATGTTCTCCTCACGAGATATTGAATTTTGCAAAAAAAAAAATTTGAAGTTCTGAAATGTTTCGTGAAATATGAGTAATTTTGGGAAATTAATATTTCGTGAAGAAAACATTCTTTTGAATTACAGTTTTTTTAACAATAGATTTCATGATACTTTGTGTATCTTGAGAGTTTCAACTCAAGTGGATGCTTGCCCTCCGAAGTAGTCCAATTTTTAGTTAACCCATATCTTAAAAAAAACTGATCGATTTGAGTTGAAGTGTTTCGTGACCGAGTATAGATAAATATAGGTTGTAGACCTATCAATAATTGAACGTAGTTCTTTTTGTTCATCGAATGTGTGATGACATTATGTTGAAAAGTTAAATTCTATCATTATTGCTACCACAACAGAACGAGCTGACACTAGTTCGATGACTATGTTAGAGTTTTTCGGTTGCATTGAAAAAAGTCGCCTTGGTGACTGACGCTTTGTGCTCAATGCATGCAAATCATGTGCTTCTTTAAACATTTACTTTTATCGCCTGTTTAGTTTTAAATCGTGTAATACATCGATATTTGCATGCTTATGTCATCATCCAATTGTTTTCATGTTAGTTCACAATACATATTTTGTTACTTAGATGTTTTTTACTCGAAATGAGTATGAAGATGTCACGATGGAGATAACTGAAAATTGATTACTAAATGATACTTATACGTCCAATCATAATCTCGTTCAAGTATTTATCGGTCAATGAGTTTGATAATTAATTTAAAATCTGTATAGTCTATATTGAACAAAGTAAAAAAAAACTATTCGATGTAGATCGTTATGATTTGTGAAAGGTAATATTGACAAAATGTGAAAGCTTCGATTGAAATAAACCAAAGCATTTGAGCATTCTAAATAGAAACATATTTTCTCAGATACATTCGATAGACAATAGAAGCAGAAGAAGCATGCCCCGCCTTTTGACTATCTTGCTTACTAGTTGCAGCTCTGCACAGAAAGCCAGCCTAATTCAAAGTTCTTCCACACAACTATTTGAGCTCCTCACACACACTGACTAACCGCATACTAGCCATAATAGAAAGTATACGTCACAAAATATCAATATGTAGGTACTACAGCTGACCCGAGACAAATTAATTTGTCCAAGGTCATTCGATGGTTGGTAGCACAGAGTTTCGAATATGATACTTTGATGGTACGTGTTAAGCAGTTTAACCATTTAGCTATAGCGGCCCAAAAAAAAAGTAAATTGCAACCACCTCTGGTGGGGATCGAACCCACGATCTTTGGATTAGAAGTCCAACGCGTTAAGCCGCTTCGCCACAGAGGCTTCGACAGAATAGAAAAAGAAATCTCTTATGTGCGTAACTCATAAATCAGCAAAGATTTAATGAGAATAAAACATAAGACTTATTGACATTGATATCAATGCTTTCTATGATAGTGATACGTACAAATCTATTGGATGAATTCTTTATATACTTTCTCGTATCATCAGTCATAACATGAAGCACATTTCATTTTTTGCTTTTATTATTTTTTAACATCTACATATCTTTTGTCGTTTGACTACCAACTGATTTATTGACAAAATGAAAGACTGTTTTAGATTTATGAATTGCAAATGAATAATCGAACGAGAGGTATATACTAGCTTTCGAGTTTTGTGGTAACGTTGAAAATCTAACGATATGGGTGTGTTTTGAAATGGCGTTGTTGGGTGTGCTCTGTGTATGAGTAGGAGATCAATACCCACACCTATTCACCCCACCCACATCCTAAGGTTAGATTTTTCTCAACAAATTTACTAAGTTTCATTTTTAGTGTTACTTTTCAGTTTTTACTTCTAACCGATTTTAGACAATCGCGCTAGTGTTTGCGGAGTGAACATATTCAGACTAGTCAACAAGAAAATCAGTATTTACAAAATTGAATTGCTCAAGAAATAAGCAAAGTGTTCAAGGTATTTATGAGTATTATAAATGGCTGTAAAAGGAAATAGAGTGGGTTTTGTATTACAAGTTATATACTCGTATCCTAACGCGACCCTACTTAAGTCGGATGTTGATGCAGCTAACACTTAGTGAATCGTTATTTTGTATCATATACCTCTGGTGTAAATCACGGAATAGATTTTACTAAGAAGCAATTGCATCTCTATTAAATTTATTTCACAATAGGTTCATTAAAATGGTGAAATTTGGATGCGTTTTATTCTGAAATATTGTTCAACAAGTACAAATATCGAATCAAAAAACAAGATCAGGTGTCTATTTGTAATATTTCGAGATTAATTCAAGTCTTCATTACTTTCATTTGGTTACTAGATGAATCAGTCAAAGAACTATTGTCAGTTTGAAGTTATTCAATGGCAGAAAAAAAGGGATCTTGTGCTTTTCTCAGCTAATGTTAAATATATCGATAGAATGCTTTCAGCATAAAATAGAGAGCACCGAGTTGTACTTGAAAAGCATGAATGTACGCAGTATTGGAAGATATTTCTAGAAGAATCAGTTTTAAAATAGCTCGAATTCGAGCCTAAAATAGTTTTCAATATCGTGAACTCTCCTACTCTTAACAGGCCAAAAAACAGCCAATTTATTTATGACTTACATCCGAGATGAGCACAGGACGGGGCGGTGCGGCCGTCCTGTCCTGCAAGACAGGACGATACTAAAATTTTTGTCCTGTCCTGCTGAGCGGCAGGATGGGGTTACACAGGACAGAACAGGACAGGATGGAAGATGTTGTCCTGTAGTTATTTCTGATACTTATCATCGTTAATAACAGCTGATATTCGCTATCAGTGATAGATGTCATTATTCTTTAATTGAAGAAGTACAATCATTTCCGAATTGGTCGATAAGATAGTCAAATCGGGAGGAAAAAAGAAAATATGCATAACAAATGTAAACTATGTATATCTATTGTTCTTCGTTCTCTTATCATAACATCGACGTCTCGTCTTTACTTTTACTTCTTATTGGCTTAACTGTTATTTAAGAATAGAATTGTGATGAATAAAAAGTATAAAGGAATAAATTGGTCATAGAATTTCTAAGAGATGCAATATATGCTTTACTTAAGAAAAAATAAAACATGCATTATTTTTACCGCTTAGTATTCGGTCCTGTCCTGTTCTGCGGAGCGGCAGGATAGAAAAACAGTGTGCGGTAATAAGGACAGGAAGAAACTAAAACTTTTGTCCTGTCCTGCTGAGCGGCAGGGCAGGATTACACGGTGCGGTGACCAGGGCAGGATGAAACTAAAATTCCTGTCCTGTCCTACTGAGCGGCAGGATGGGAGTTAATAAAGGACAGGACAGGACAGGACGGAAAATCTTGTCCTGTGCTCATCTCTGACTTACATGAAGTAAACAACTAAATGTACGTCAAGGTGATGATACAATTTTTTAACCAGATAAGTAAGCAAGACTCTCAAACCACAATCGTCAGTATCGATTTCAGTCATTTTTCTCGTTTATGAGTGTGTAGACAAGAGAAATGCAATACAATCTACGAATCATCCAAATAGTGTTTTCGTTCTATTCTTATTTTTCGCAAAAAGTACACATCACTCATGTAGACACACAATCAATGTCATCGTTTGTAAATATGTTTTTTCGTTTCTCGAGAAAGATAGTTGTTCTTTGTATAAATGAGATATCGAAATGCGACGCAGTCGATCATCTTGATCTCCTTATACGGAATAAAAAAGTCCAGCCATGTGAGAGAGTGCATGTGTAGATGAGCCATTTCTTCTTATGTTTATCTTATTCTTCTCTCTTTATCGTCGGACATATTAATGGATAGTAAGACGATACGTATGCTAGCGTCTCTAGTAGTGAGTGTAATTGTTCGACTTCGATATTAACACGAAAGTCGGATCGATAATTTCCTGCAAAAAGAAAAAAATCAAATACAGCATCAATTCTGAATTTATTTACACCAATTTTAGTTTTGTTTTCAAATATTGACAGTAGATGTCTTTTTTCTAATACAAGATTAGTTTCTACTTTTATGATGATACATTTGATCATAGACTGGTCTACATTTAAGAAGAGAACAAATCTTTAATGTATCAGCTCAATATTTCTTGAGAGAAACTGTTTCTTCTTCTTTTTTTCCATTATCGTTTCGATAGCTACACAAATTTTTCAAATTCGTTTTAAACATGAAACGGAATCATTTAGCAGTCACATCGTGTTTTATGAAAATGGGAAAAAATTGGGTCGTCTTATTTTATTGGATATTTATTCAAAGTAAGTAACGTCGTCAATATAATTCAAGAAAAGCTTATTTATATCGTTTTAAGAAACAATCACAATAACAGGTCAAGTAAATCGAATTATCCGATGCTACAAATGTCATGGAGAGTCAGAATGTGGTACTTCCTTCTCACCAAGTTTGCACAACAATGAGCAATATCTTTCTGAACCCGGTGACGCAGTCATACAATCATGCTCAGTGAGTGTTTATGGTTAACGAGGAATTGGCATCTTACCGTCGAACTTTTCATAATATTTTATATCAGATAACAGTGAGCCCGGAAGGCATAACAACTCGAGCTTTAGTGCCGTCGAACACATGTCGAACCTCAGCATATGAATTCTGTTGTAAAGACAATTTGTGCAATGATCTACCTTCACCTTCATTGCCTGCATTTACTGCTCTGACTTGTCTTGTTCGTTTTTGCACATGGCCATTTAAGGATGTTTGTGATAGTGACTCACATGTTGCGTATCGTAGCAGTGCTGCGAAATCTTGTTGGGTGAGTTTTGTATGAATAACTATTGAAAATTTCAGCTGTTCAAATTGACTATCAGATATGCTACTCTGAAAGCAAAGTGTCTTTATTCTCAATTCAAGAAAGAAATGGATTACGCATCTCTTACAGGCAAGATTCTTGTAAATTACAACGGATCCTTATTCATTTCTTTTTATTTTGTGGCAGCTGTGTTAGCGTTCGCGATCACGAAGAGCGACGAACACAGTTAACGTGTGTGTGTGGTTTATTCTCTCTGTTTATTCTTTTACAAAACAAGTGTTTATATCCGCACATGAAAACTAAGGACAAAATATAGAAGAATACAGAGGTTAATCAAGTGCAAAGGAAAGAAATAAAAGAAACGAAAATAACAAAGAAAAGAGAATAGATAGGATCGAGGTAGATGTTATAGAAGAACACACTGTAACATACTCCCCTATCGAACAAAAAAATGTGTACTATCAACATTTTTAAACAGAAAAAAAAATATAACACGGAGAAATGGAAANGAGGCCTCTATCATTGATAAAAAAATCAGCTTCTTTGCTCGAGCCATAAGGAAGATATTTAATTTTTTTTGGGTAACATGACTTTTGGGCCACCCTGTATAATGTTTTCTAGATTGAAAATAATAGCTATAAAACGCATAAGCATTTCAAACGAACATCAAAGTATTCAAAAAGTCTGATTGAAAAAAAGAACATTCATAACTGAAAAAGAGTTTAAGCAATTTACATAAGTTTTCTATTGTTTCAACTAAGTTTTATTAAAGTTGTATTTTATATATAGTCGGTATGATTAACTTCAATGGAAATATCGGAATTCATTTTTGTAAAACAGTTTCTTTTGAAATGATTTTTGATATTATTATCGATTTGCATTTTTATTTCAATGTAATCTTTCATAGGCATCCTATAGTCATTATGTCTAACGTTTGGTTTATCAATTAAAATCATAGTTATTTCGTTAGACAGAAAAAGCTATTCTTTCTAATGTTAATGCCTGTGAATACTTTCAATAAAACTTCACATAGTTCACTACGAGTTGGTTAGTTTTTATTGAGTACATGTTACCACAGATAACTTGTGAATAAGAAGTATTCTATCATAATTTTATGCGTCATTCCTTAGTCCTTTGATCAACTTTTTCCGTATCTAACTTGTATTCGAATTTATGACAGAAAACAAATCAATATATACAGTAAGTTTTTGTAGTTTCACATCAAATTTATTGAAAAATTGAGTCTTTGGTAATAAAAAATATCAAGTACTTTTTACATTACTATTATATGAGCTTTCGTACTCCTTCATATAGCCATAGAGATCAATGACATGTAAATAATCTTGATTTAAACTCATCCAACTACAATGCATCCAATGAACTTGCACGCGTCATAAACTGATCATAATATCAATAGAAAAGCACATAGCATTTTCAGAATTAGAACATACAGTTAATCAAACTAATTTTAAACAATAGTGATTAGATTGATCGTGATATCAAATATATAGACGAATAGAAATCGGTAGGTTTGTAGACAATTAAAAAATGACTTTAGTTGATGAAACGATAGTGAAGAATTACTCATGAAGGTACTTGAGTTCGAACTCTGTGCATAGGATAGACCCTAATTAGGTATTAAAATGGCCGAAGTTATGTCTGCAAAGTAATAGGCATTTTACTGAAAATCGAGATATTAAATTCTTGAATCTTTCGTGGAATGCGATTAATTTTTGGAAAGTGAATATCTCGTGCAGGGAACATCTATCTATGGGTAAAATTTCAGTTAAATAGCTATAGTTTTATAAAGTCTAGGAGCACTTATCCTTTTGGAGTTTTTAATATCTTATTTGAGTGTACTTTATAAACAGAGTCCGAACTCTTAAGAACTTTTCAAAGTGAGAGAACTACTTCGTTACAACACAAACTTTTTACACTCCTTAATATAGAGATTATCTATATATTTTTTATAATAATTTAAATAACTTACTTCTTCTTGTGTCATTTTCGTTTGCTTTCTTCGTAACCATTCCCGATAGAATAAACATTGTCCATTTCGATTGAAAATATATAAATTATAAACAACCATCTAAAAATGTTCTGCATCATTTTTTTTCTTTTCTTTTAAAAGAACAAATAATGTCAAAATTTTGTGTTTCTGGTTTTCAAAATCTCGCAATAGATAAATGATTGACAAAAACAAAACCACGCGAGTATATTATAGAATACAAAGTGAAAAAGAAAAAATAAACTATAAGATATAGTTAATAGTCATCACCTCGACTAACAACTTCTTTGCATGTAGGTCTTAATATAATTGTATGTTCGAATTGTGCTGTGTAGCAACCTTTTATATCACATAATGGTGGATATGGATTAACAACTTCAGCATCAACAAGACTTTTTAATGCAAGTAAATATTTACTTTCACCTAAGCGGTCTAACCATCGGCGACAAAAAGCTAATGTACCAAAATTTTTTGATATTGTATTATATAATTGTTTAGCTTTAGCATTTCTAATAAATAAAATATTAAAAAAAAATAATAAAATTTATTTTTCTGGAAATTTACCTAACAGATGCTTGTTCAGCATCATAATGTTTCATATAATGTGATACTTCCATATCATCATGTACAACACCTTTACCTGTACTACCGAATGTCTCAATCGCATAAATTTCACCTTCCTAAAATTATTAATAAATAGAACAAAAAAACGTTTTTTTTTTTTCTTGAATTTATTAAATTACCTCCATACGAGTTCCTTCACCACCTTTAACAATAGGAACTGATTTACCAGCATGAATATGATATTGTCCAATAAGATGACCTTGAAGATTACGAATAGATTTAACTAGAAAAACAAAATAACAAAAGAATATTAATTTACAAAGTTTTTAATTAGATTTTTTCAAGAATTTAATGCTGTGATTTCAAACAGCAACCACAATAAAGGTGATTTTTAACCAACATACAAGATATGTAAGTTTGTAAAGAAATCCCTATAAAATTCTAGCTGTCAGTAGGTGACACCACTTATGAATATATCAGCGGTATGCAATATAACTCGAGAATAATGAGTTGGTCAAAATAAATGGTCGCATTTTTTTTTCTATCATCACATACGTTTTATTACAAAACAAATACAAAATGTATCACAAGATTTAGCTTGAAAAGCTCAATAATGTATAATAAGAAGCTTAATTTATACATTCACCTTTAGTTTTCTAAATAGACAAAATTCTATATAACCAAATTTTGATGATGCAAAAAAAAAGCTTTTTTTCCGTTATACAACGAATTCCATTTCTTTGACTGATGAGTTAAAATGATGACTTTAATTAAACTGATTTATATCTATTTCGATTATATTTTTTTGACTCTTATGTTATATGTTAGAGGAACATACAAAATCACATCTGTATAAGTGTCAGTTAATAAAAAGAAGTAAAATCTGAAGACCTACGAAAAGTAGTCATGCGAATTATTAGTGATCATATGATATCAGTTCAAACTTGTAAACAATTATAAAATGTAGTCAATGTAATAATGTTAAAGACTGTGGTTCATTAATTGATGAAACAAGAAAAGGTATTCATTATATACTAATAAATGATCTTGTTCTCTGCGTCGAAAATTAGTCACACAGAATTTCGTCCATTTTGAAAACACTTTGGGTATTATAGTAATATGACCTTGAAGAAAAACTCAAGTCAACATTAACAGCTTCTGTATAACGTCAATACAAAATGAATCGACTTTGCAACGTACATCAGTTTGTATCTGAAATACGAAAGAAAAAAAAATTACAATGCAGACAACTTTTATTATGACGTCTGTTTTATGGACGAGGATTTTTTTTTTTTTTTCTTCAGATTGACATTAATCTCAAACGAGAAAGAAAGTCTTGTTATTACGAAGATCTATCACTTCCGTCATTTATCTAGGATGAAGGTCGAGCTTGTAATTATTGTATTATTTATCTCGTGTCTATGCTTCAAAAAAATAAGTGTTCTCTCTCGCGAAATTTTTAATCGCTATTCTCCAATAAAAAATCTGCATAAAAAATGAGTCTTATTAAGATTGACTAGTCATGTCTAAATCCTCTATTACAAAAAGTAGACAAGAATATAAGATCTTGGTATTTTGTGGATCTCTTGCTCACTTTTCATGATAGAGGCCCTCTTTTGATACCAATTCATACACCTTGAAATTCCCTACAGCCTGATAGAACAGTCGCTTCACTAACTTGACTAAATATCAAAACGTGTTTTTAGAGACACTTCAACTTTTTTTTCGAACTTTGAAACAAATATGATTAAACAATAGAGTGAATCTAGAAACAAAATCAAACGCATTTTTTTACATGAATATCAAAAGAAAGTCTGAACAATGAAAACTCAGCGTTTTATCAAAGAAATATAATGATAATCATTTATTCTGAACTTCTTCTACTGCCACTTTTTAAAAGTCTATATTAGAGTTAATTAAATATCTTCATCAATTTTAATTTTTTCAACATTTTCAATAAAACTGAATATTCTTTACAAATATAATCTACATGAAATTAAGATTTTACTAGCATGTCCAAATTATATTTCTATTCAAGATCATAGATATAAAGAAATATGTAGTCTATTAATCTAATAAGTAGTACTACCATAAAAGTTTACATCAACTTAGCAAGAGCATTGTTTCATAATGTACAAACTAAATACTAAAAAAAGGAAACATTTCTTTCTCACATACTTGGATAAAGTTTTCCATCAAGTTCAAGTTCATGACTTTCCATTACTTCTTGAATTGCTTCACCAATATCACATAAACGTACATCAATACCTGCTGTCTATAGAAAAAAAGAAATTTCGAATAGAACAAAAAAACCAAATAACTTTTACGATACCTGTATTCCAGTATTTGTTGCGTCTCGAACAGCTTGAAGTAATTCATCATATTTTGGATTGAATGCAAGTGTCCATGCACAATCAATAATTCGACCATTAATATGTGTACCAAAATCAATTTTACAAACATCATCACGTTGAAGTATTGTATTATCACCATTATTTGGTGTATAATGAGCAGCACAATTATTTATTGAACAACCTTTACAATAAAACATGAATACAATCGAAATAAAATGAATTTTTCTCTTTGTATTTTCATCTATTTTCAAACATATTGCGCATAACGAGAAAATATGAAATGCGTTACACGTTTATCTGTATTACCGATCGGAGAACAATTATCGACATATGCGGCATAGAGCACATTATACCGAACAATCTACCAACAGGTTTTGTTCAGTTTGAACTACATGGGATATTTATCCTGAAGAGCTAGTAAAGATTAAATCAAATAAAAGTAACTTCTTCTTCTTCTTGAAATTGCATATCAACATTTAGATTATGATAAAAATTTATAGCAATATCATCATGCTTGGTCATAATGTTTATATACATCATATACAATGCTATATCATGTTATTTATTTTAAAGGTTTATACCGATGCATTGAGGATACCAATTCAAAATTACCTTATGATCACTTTTAACCCTAAAGCGTTGAACTATTGAATAGAAGTCATAATCGCTAATTTCTAAACGATACTGCTCAAGCATTTCACCCTTCAAATAATATGTGTGTCCCTCATACTTATCAGTCATAATGAATTTTTACAATTACAATTCAAAAATATAAATATCGATTGAAAAAACTGTAGAATCATTCTTTGGTCAATCACAATGCAGATAGATGAACGCAAATAAAACTAACGTCATCAAATGCGAATAAACATAGCACGTGCAAAAACTTGTTTTGATTAAAACCTAAATTTTTGTTAAAAATTCCATTAACAAAAAGAGCCTTTATCTCGTTACATTAATGTGATTGTATTCATAGACAGAACGTCGCATAGATATAAACTTCGAACTATCTTAACTTTAATAAATATCACAATTCTTCTTTGGTTTAATCGTTATTTGTTATTCAAGTTAAATAAACTATAAGATGCAGCGCATTACACATTTTCTCATTATTTATAATATGTTTGAAAATAAATAAAGGAAATCCGTTTTAATTTCTACTGTAATAAATCGAGCAAAAGGAAGTAAATTTTACCTGTTGGAAATGCTAGACCAGCTTCAAGACCTTTTTCTTTAATTAATCTTCTATTCATATCCTCTAATCGTTCGCTATTAAAAAATTATATTATAATAAAATTTAAAAGATAATAATAAACTACAAAAATCCTACCAAATATCAATCATTTTCATTCCAGGTTCAATCCAACTCATAACCCATTTTCGTGTCTGTCTATGACATTCAGCTGCTAAACGTAATTCTCGATAAATTTCTGTTTGAGCCATATCAAGCATACGTTTCTCTTCACTTGTAATACGATTAACAGCAAGCATTCTAATTATTCAAATAATAAGAAAATACAAAAAAAAAATATTCATATTTTTTCTACCCATTTGTTGGTGGATTTTTCGGTGTGGGATGTGTAAGAATTTCTCCTTCAGGATAATTTCCATTTGGATATAATTCACAAATAGGTATTGATGGAGGATTTGTTTGTTGACGAATAGGTACAGTTGTAGGAGAGCCATTTGCTACTGGCGCTGTAGCTGTAGCTGTAAAAAAAATAAAAACATAATCTTTTGTTAAATAAAAATAAATAACATAAATACTTTTTTTCTTCTTTTTATTTTTCTTTTTGGTAGTAGATTTTACTTCATCACCTTCACCAATTTCTTCTTCTTCTTTTTCATCATCTAAATAGAAAATAAACGTGAAGATAAAATTATTGCAAGTTCAAGAAATTTTAAATGATTCATAAATTATTGAAACGACTGGGAATTAAATTCAAAAAGTTTTATATATCAAACGTGTGGATATCAGATTCTTCGTGATGATCGCTATCATCGGAAATCATAATTTTCTCAAATAGATAAATTGAATATAAAATGGAGTGTTAAAATACAGAAATAAAATTTCAATAAGAAATTGAATTCAGAAAAAAATTATCGTTAAAATGCTCGTAAAAGTTGGTTATGTTTTCACATGTCTATATCAGATTTTTCAAAACTAAAACTAAATGATTTTTGTTTTCAAAAGAATAAATCAATACCATCTTGTTGAATAGATAATGTAGATATTGCTTCTACTCCATTTAGAACTGGATCTGGTTCTGTATTATTATCATTTGTAGCACTTTGACCTTAAATATTTACAAAGGAAAAATAATGTTGTTGGTTTTATTTTTTGCTATAATTAATTCTACCTTTGTTTTTCTTCTTTTTTTTTCGTTTCTTTTTTGTTTTTGCTGCTGATTGATCATCTATTTTACCAGTTTCATCTATTTCATCATCTTCTGAATTTTCAATATCATTTTGTACTTGTGGTTCTTCGACAATATTAGTTGATTCCATGTTCAAAATGTTTTATTTATTTATTCAAATGTTGTGTCTCAATAGTGCACTCACACATACTTTTAACGAAGAGAAAAGACCAATAAAAAAATTGATCGTTGCCTTTTTTGAGAAGTTTTTATTAGATGTCTCTACAGTAGTTAATTATTTTTCTAGATAAACAGAATCTATTATTAATACACAAATTCAATCATAGCATGATAAGAAGACAAAGAAAAAAAAGAAGAATGTATTTGCGAACGGTTGTTAGTTTGATAAATTTACTTTGTATATTTGAATATTTTCGAAAGTATATATTTTTTAATTGTCTGTTCTACAAAAAACATCAGCTCGAGGGTACTTCTATTGTGTATTTTTAGTATATATACGGACATAAGTGGCAAATTTTAACAACTTTTGACGTCGTAGTCTTTTTTAGATATTTGATCACATTTATTTAAGATAACGAAAAAAGGCAATGGGGCAATATATTACAACACATGATTTTTATCATTCATATACTGATGAGCCACATGCAACACGTCGAAAGGAAATGCTTAGTAAGTTAAATTACCTTAAAATTCATGAGATATTATTCATCTTAATATTCTAATATAAAATAATGTGAAAATAGATTGAAGATTTTTTTGCCTAATTTTGCATGATTATTAATTTCTAATATTTTATCCAGAAAAATATCCCGAAATAAAACAATTAATGGGTCATGATTGGCGTATGGCAATACAAGTTGTTATATCTGTATTAATACAAATAACTGCTGCGATACTTATACGAAATTCTGCATGGTTAAAATTAATTTTTATTGCTTATGTTATTGGTGGTACAGTAAATCATACATTATCTTTAGCTTTACATGAATTAACACATAATTTGGCATTTGGTCATGCACGACCATATTGTAATCGTTTATTAGGTTTCTTTGCTAATTTACCATTAGGTGTACCAGCATCGATTACATTTAAAAAATATCATCTTGAACATCATAGGTAAATTGACTAAACAACACGAAAAAAAGTTCATTTATTTATTTATTTATTTATTTAGATTTCAAGGTGATGAAATATATGATACTGATATTCCAACACGTCTTGAAGTATTTTTATTTTCATCACGTATTGGAAAATTTTTCTTTTTACTTCTGATGCCATTTATTTATACATTACGACCTGTTTTTGTTTTTCCGAAACCAATACATGTTTTGGAATTAATTAATTTAATTATTATATTAGTATTTGATGGAATAATGTTTTATTTTTTTGGTTATAAAACAGCATTATATTTTATATTAAGTACTATACTTGGTCTATCAATTCATCCTATTTCGGGACATTTTATTGCTGAACATTATGTTTTTAAAGAAGGATATGAAACTTATTCATATTATGGACCATTAAATTCTATTACATATAATGTTGGATATCATAATGAACGTAAAGAAATTATAAAATAAAGAAATTTAATTTAATTTTTATTTGAATAATTTTTAGATCATGATTTTCCAAATATACCAGGTCGAAATTTACCGAAAGTACAAAAAATTGCTCCGGACTATTATGATAATCTACCATGTTATACAAGGTAAACATTTATTTTAGATAAAAAAGAAAATCCCTTCGAAGAATTAATCAGTTCTAAAATAAATTATAATTCATTTTAATCAAGGCGTTTAAACGAGTTTTCTTACCTTTTTTGACCTAAAGTTAATATAACTATAAAAGTCACAAAGATGGAATATTTTTAACTAAAAAATCATCAAAATTTAGAAATTACTTCACTGTTTATGAAAAGTAAAAGTTGACAATCGCTTTCATTTTTCAACAACACCACATTCGATCGAACTGAAACTTTCTTCAAGGTACACTAGAAAGTGTTTATATAATGCCTAATTTTTTTCATATTTCAAAATATGATTTACCGTTAGTTTTTGCCAGGATTTTAAAAAAGAAGTCCGGGTTAAACAAACATGCATTCTTATGTGTACATTCATTACTTTGATCTTTTTATTTGCATAAAATTAGATTAGAAAGAATCCGAATACAAAGTAGATATTCCAAGCAATGCCTAGTCTCTGTAAAAAAAAATATTTAAACTCTATCAGACGTATTGCAAGCTAGAAAGCAGAGTAATTATAGGAGGACGAGTTTTAGGCATTGTGACACCTATATTTCCTAGAAGAAAATATTTAGAAATTTTGATTCAATTTAGATTTATGTACCTTGAAAATTTAAAAAGTTTTGCATGAACTTTTTCGAAAAGGGAAGGAATTCTCTTAAGGTACAAACTATAACGAATGAATCTTACCTAAGATAAATTAGATATTTTAAAAATATATATAATGTATGCATTTTCGTTGAAACTAAGGCGCCTTACAGAATGTCGAAGTTTTTAATACAAACTGATTTTAAGATTGAGCATTTTCTCTAATTTCTATCGATTACAATTAGTAAGGAAAATCTACTAACAAAAGTGACTTAGGAATTTTTTCATGAATAAGAAAGTAGTGATTGTATTATGAAAAGCATTTCAGTGCTTATTTTTCATGCAATATTGTGTATGAATCTGGTTCTGGAAAAAGAAATTTTTTTTTTGTTAAAATTGACCCTTTATTTTGATAAAAGTTTGCTTTGACTACTATCGAATTAGAACTACATATATATATATGGATACGCATTATGTGTATTTAAAAAATTCTTTTATATACTTTCGATGTTAACTAGAGCCCATCGGGTTCAGATTCGAAAAGCTCGGAACCAATGAGGTTTAGTCATCTGAGAAATGTGTAGGATGTTCTAGTCATCGAATACAAAAAAAACTGGAAAGAAGTATCTCGTATTTTCGAGGCACCGATTCGATTTAGATTAGAAAATTCCATGAGTATCAAAGCACGGTTCAAATGGGTGCAGATCCAAAAACTTTGGACCTCACGAGCTCTAATACTAGTGCATATAGATGTTCGAGGCTGAAGATTTTCGATCAATTAAACTTTTTTTTTCTTTTTAAATTTAATTCAAAATATTTTAAAACATCTATTGTAATATTTTGTATCTGTCTAGCTGGACCAAAGTACTTTACGATTTTGTTATGAATGATAATGTTGGTCCTTGGGCGCGTGTAGTTCGACCGACAAAATTTGGATGTGATCCTGTAGTAAGGCAACAAGAGTGTGAACAAAAATTGAAAACAATTGTTAAAGAAGCTCACAAACGTGATTAACAAGAAAATATTCAAAAACAAATTTTCAAGGTGTTTTTTTTTTTTCTTTATTAAACTGCATAGTCATGAGAATAATTTATGATAAAAGATGTTATTATGGTGTTTCTAGCTTATATAAGGCTTTAAAGTTTGCATAATAGTCGATGCTTGATCTTCTTTGTCTTCTCTTCTGTTATGTCAGATTCTCTTTTGTTCATCTTACATTCATTTTTCTAGAGTCTCAAAATCTTTTTCTTTCTTGTGTCTTGTCGGAGAAGTTAATCAATAAAACGCAATGTTATGCTATTTTTCTTTTGCTTTCTGCATAATTTTTGTCATTAGCATTGTTCTATTGTGTTACGTATTGTATGGTTCCAAACTCTATATATGTGTCAAGTCTTCCACATTTTTTTTTTCTTGAACTAGTCTTCTTGTTGTTATTTGTATGATTGTGTAGCGAACAAAATAAAATCCATGGGATATCCAAACTGCAAGAGAATAATAAAAAAAACAAAATTTGTGAACAAAGCTTTATTGGCACAATAACAGAGATAATTCTAATGAAGTAAGAAAACAAGAAAGTACACTCATATAGACGGACGGAAAAATATGACAAAATGACACTTTGACAAAAAAACATAAAGAACGCAGGTATGTTTAGCTTTTTATTATATTTTATTTTTGAGAATACCTTAGCAATGGAATGTGAAATAGACACCCTTAAAAGCTGTTCTTCAGATATCTCAGAGAAAACTAATCAATCATATATGCAAAGGACAATATTTTTTTATATTAAAAGTGTATTTATTGAGGCATACTTTAGAATCAAAAGTTGTATTAAAACTGTTTGTTAAAATGAGTAATAATATGATTAGCATTTTTAATATTGACTTGCAAGAAAGTAAATTTGTTTTAGGATAATGAAAAAGAAAAAACCTATGGTTTATATTTTTATAAAAACTATAGTAGATTTAATAAATACTACGCAATTGACTACAAATAAAGGATATGAACTCAAGTTGGTTTTGAATTTACTTTTTGTTATTTTTGTTTTTTTTTTTTTTTTTTTTTTTTTTTTTGTTAAATGATATCGTCCTTTACATAAAAAATATAATCTCCAAGATTTCGTCATTACGAACGAAAAACACACAGTGTTTTTTTTCGAAAAAGAAATTTTTAAGTGAACACAACAAAACATAAAGACACGCGCTTAGGTGTTTTTTTCTATTTATTACATTATTCATTTTTTGAATGATATCCATTGGTAATTACTGTTGATGTTTGCTCAAGATTTGAAGATGTTGTTGTATGTTGTTTGCTGGAATATTTTTTCATATACATTAATTTTCTTTCTTCTTTTGATAAATGTGGTGAATGTGTATTGTTATTATTGTCAATAACATCATGAAGTACTTCATTAACTTTTGATTTACTTTTTAAATCAATAGCATTATTTAATTTTAATGCATCTGACCGTATTGTACGACGAATACGAGATTGTGGTCCTAATCTTGGGTCAAACACAAAGTCATAAAGTACTTTAAGCCAAGAATAATGACATGGAATATTATCGTAATAGTCGGGTGCAATTTTTTTCAACTATTTAAATAAAAAATAATAACAAAACGTTTAAGAAAAATCATTTAAATCTTCACCTTTGGCAATGCATAACCAGGAATGTTAGGAAAATCATGATCTATAAAAAACAAAAACAAAAAATCTATAAAGAAGAAAAACATAAAACTAAAAACTCTTACGTTCATTGTGATAACCAACATTAAATGTTAAATAATTTAAAGGTCCATAAT